GAATCAACAGTTGGCAACTACATAGTCTGAAGACCTCTCAACAACAACAAAAAATGACCAAATATTTGGTTTTGAAAGATTTTTACAAATTTAGGGTAGAAGATGCAGTTTTAAACAATTATGCCTGGGGCCAAAGAGATGGCTCAGTAGAATAAGCACTTGCCTGGCAAGTGCAAGGGCCTGAGTTCAATCCCTGGTTCCACCAAACAAAACAAAACAACAATTATACCTAATAGATATACTAAACAGAATCACAGAAACTGTGATATAAAAACAACAATAGGTAGTGTAAAGATAACTTGTGCTCTATTTCAGCAAATTCCCAAAAACTTAAAAAACAAAAAAGTATATTCCAGAAAAACTTAGTATAAAATATATATTTGGTTTTATGATTAAGATAAGATTGAAATGATTTACATGAGGATCTTGAACCCTGAGAAGTTTATCTCAACTTTGTATAGCTCTCTTAATACATTGTTTTCTACTAGTGTAACCTAGTTTTTGAGCCTTTTTTATACTCCTGGAGACCACAACTTAGTTATCTTGACATCATTCCAAGTGTTTCTATAGCATCCTACATTCAGAATAAACGCTTGTTAATTGCTAAGTTTATATATGTATCTCTGAGCAAAAATTCCACCTCAGAAATTCCATTCTGGTACTGCTTACTCACCCCAAAATATTAATCTGTTCTTTTAACATTTCTTTCTCTTCAGTCACACAATTGTATTCAAACCCTTTTAAAATATTCCACCCAATAAGCAAGAACAAGCAAATTAAGGCTTAAAATTCATCCTGTACATTCTCTAAATTGGCCTGATGAGTTTTAATTGTTCTTTCTATAAAGAACAATTTCAGAAAAGGTGAGAACAAAGAACAAAATAAAATACAAAATATATGTACTAACAATGTTAAATGCAATCTGGTCCAAAGACTTTATGGCCAGACAAAATTTTTAATAGTATAAATAGCTGTTGAACCCACCACAACTGTAATTGGTGTCATCACTTGTTTCCTAAGTCCTTATTAACTCCAGCCATTCATATATAGAAAACCAAGAGCTAAACTATAATAAGCAGTAAGTCAAGGTAGAGAAAGAAGTAACTAAGGGCACTAAAATACTTATCACTGTGACAATCCAGGAATAATACTACTGATCACTGATCTGCTTACTGCTCTAAATCCACTTAGTATCCCAATGACACTTAAGATCATATGTAGGAGGGCTAGTGAGATGGCTCAGTGGTCTAAAGCACCTACTCAGAACAAGCTTAGCTAAAGCACAGGGACCTCGGTTCAATCCCCCAGCACTACATGGCAGCCAGCCCCGCCCCCTGGTGAGCTGAGCTGACCACACACACGCAAATAAATAAAAAAGATCATATGTATATTAGAATTATTTAGTGCAGACATTTCATTCTTCTTTTTTTTTTCCCAGAACCGGGGATTGAACTCATGCTGTTGCGCTTGCCAGGGAAGCGCTTATTCCACTGAGCCATCTCCCTGGTCCCAGACATTTCATTCTTATAAACAAATCAAGAAACTTATCATGTAAAAAAAAAGAAACTTTTCATGTAGAAATCAACAGGTCCTTTACTATATAATAAAGTACTATGGGCTGGCCAGATAGCTCAGCGGATTAAAGCACCTGCTTAGGCAGATGCAGGGGCCAGGCCATGCCAGTGTGGCCACCCAGCATGCTTGAGACTGGGTGTGGTGGCACACACCTGTAATCCCAGCGCTTTGGGAGGCTGAAAACAGGAGAGTCTGATCTGTGTAGTGAGACCCTGTACTAAATACAAAAAACAACACAAACCAAAAACCTAAAGTACTATATATAAGAGCCCTTCCTGACAAAGCAACCATTACTTTAACATTTTGTATCCTTTTTACTACAGAGATTTTTTTTTTCTTCAAAATTTTATTGATAGGGCTGGTGAGGTGGCTCAGTGGTCTAAAGCACCTACTTAGAACAAGCTAAGCTAAGCAAAGCACAGGGACCGCGGTTCAATTCCCCAGCACCACCCCTGGTGGGCTGAGCTGGCCACACACACACACACACACACACACACAATAAATAAATAAATAAACATTAAAAAAACAAAACAAAATTTTATTGATAAACATAAAGTAGATCTTATTTTGTTTTTATTTTGCTTTTTTTTCAGGACCAGGACCAGGTATTGAACTCAAGCCCTAGCGCTTGCAAGCGCTTACTCTACTGAGCTATCTCCCTGGCCCCTTTACTACAGAGATTCTGAAGAGATTTTTTTTTTAATGAGCAGAATGTATTTATTTATTTATTTTGCGGTACTGGGGATTGAACTCAGGACCCTGCGCTTGCCAGGTAAGCTCTTACAGAATATATTTATTGAGGGAAAGAAAGCTTCTGTCCAAGAGAAGGACAGGAGGGGGGCCCAAGAGGGTTGTCCCCCCCTGAAGAGATCATTTTTAAGAATATCCAGAGATTCAAAAGCATATAGGGCCAAGGAGATGGCTC